CTGAAAAAAAGCCCATTACTCCCGATGAATGAAAAAGTTCTGCACCAGGCATTCTGTGGAATTGATGGCGTAAATTATAAAGTCTGTTGTACAACAGAGCAAAAACCTCAGGAACCAGATGACATCATCAATCCACTGATTACTGAATCCTCAAGTCCTGCTGACAATTCCAATGAAAGTTGTACCACATTATCAGGACACAGAGGTAATTGCATAAACATTAAAAAATGCCCCAAAATGATGGATATTCTGCAGAGAAAACCAATGACTGAGAATAATCGGAGCTTTTTACATCAATCACATTGCGGATATGAAGATATTTATCCGAAGGTTTGTTGTGAAATTCAGGATGAACTGACTCCAGGAAAGCGTCACCAGGACAGACGCATGGAACAGAGTGGAACGGAGAAAATTAACACCACAGAAAATTGTATTTTGCCGTCCGGAAGGAAAGGGAATTGCATAAATATAAAAAAATGCCAGAGGGTGATGGATATTCTCCACGAAGTCCCTCTCACTCAAGAAACCCGTAAAAAATTGCGTGATTCTCAATGTGGATTTGCCGATAATTATCCCAAAGTCTGTTGTGAACCTGTGAACGAAGTAGTAGAAGTGAAAATCCTACAGAAAATTACATCATCTTCAGAGGATCATTGTCTAACCCCGTGGGGAGGAATGGGAAGATGCATCAGTATAAATGATTGCAGTGACCTGAGAAAGCTCTACGTACAGAATCTATTACTTCCAATGCATGAGAAACTGCTGGAGAATGCTCGTTGTTCAGCAGAAGGTCTGCAGGATCCTGAGTTTAAAGTTTGTTGTGGGATGAAGCAGTCCAATTTAGACCGGAATTCAGGAGCAACTGGAGAAATTGTGAGAACAACGATTTTCAAAATTCCTGATTATGGCAAACTTGACAAAAGACGTTTGCCTCATGAATCGTGCGGACCAATTCCAGAGGAGCGAATTGTTGGGGGGAATGACACGAGAGTCCATGAGTTCCCCTGGATGGCACTGCTGGGGTACAACATGGGAAAACGAGGAATTACTTTCAGATGTGGAGGGACTTTGATTAGTGAAGAGTACGTACTGACGGCTGCTCATTGCGTAACTGCACTCGCCCCTGGTAAGAACTTTCTCAATTTTGAAAAGATTTCCAGAAATTTTTGTATGTTCTATCTTATTTTGGTGTGTCTGAAGAAATACATTTAATGGCTTTCTAATATAGATGACTAAGTACTACGTTAATTGATTATAGTTATCAATTACCAAGACATTGTTCATCACTTGTAATCAGCTGTTTTCATCCTGTTCATGACAAAACATTTCCTCTTCATTTTCAAAATTCGATCTAACCAATCACATTTTTATTTCTTACGTTCTTCACAGGTTTAAAACTTATAAAAGTAAGACTTGGAGAATACGACATGAAGACTGAAGAGGACTGTGACGACGAGAGCCACTGTATTGGTAAATACCAAGAATTTTTCGTACAACATGTTAAGCCCCACGAAAACTACTCACAGCAGACGTTCCAAAATGACATTGGTCTAGTGAAATTACGAGGTTCTGTCGACATTCGTTCTGGCTACATTAAACCAATCTGCTTGCCTCTGAATCGCGAGGGGTCCATTGGTAGAACCCCGAGCAATGCTGTAGTGACAGGGTGGGGTGCAACAGAACATGGCACGAGTAGTACTAGACTGCAAAAAGTTACTCTGCAAATTATCACCAATGAATTATGCCAGAAGCTGTACAAGGGCAACAGGAATGTTGTCATAACGACGAAACAGCTGTGTGCCGGAGGAGTCAGGAGTAAGGACTCGTGCTCTGGGGACAGTGGTGGGCCTCTTCAGGCTATTGAAATGTATGGCAATAGACCAAGTTTCGTTCAGTATGGAATCGTCAGCTTTGGACCTGCAACTTGTGGAGTCGAGGGATTACCGGGGATTTACACTAGAGTTGATCATTACGTCCAATGGATACTTGATAATATGAGGGATTGAGTGAGGTCATGTTGAAGGTATCAATTACTCTCGTACTCAAAACTCTTAGTAACTACTTTCAACATTATACTATGGAGACGCGGATTTTTCACATAAGTAATTCGCCATGATTATCTCCTTAGTATTACATATAAAGTTTCGCACATAGCTATTTAAAATTCTTTGACGACGTGCAATGGGCTGCATTATTATTTGTACAATTATATAGTTATCAATAGAAAGGGATTATGATCATTGCAATGATGATTATTTATGCCAAATAGAATGCCCAGGTTTTCTCAAATATTGACTCAACAAACTTGTTATGATTTTGGATAAGTAGTGCTTAGAATAGATAATCTATTGTATATCAATTGTTTATTAAAAAAGGTTAATTTTCGGAATTTACATGAGTTGTATTCTCTCATCTTTTAAACCAAACGTTATATAAAACGTTGTATAAAACACCCCATTCTAAAATTCACAAATACCGGCACCAATATCAACCCTCCAAGCAGTAATCATACAAAACAACGGGGCTTGAGCGAGATGAACCTTCCGATCACCTATGACTGGACCATCACTGGATTTAGCCACCTGCCAGAAAATGTCAAAGAGAAGATCACCTCTTCTGTTTTCTACATAGATGAAACCAAAACTGACCCATGGAGGTTCCTATAGAGTTATATCCCAGAGGGGACAACGAGATGACCAAAAATTACGTATCAGTCTTCCTGGAGTTTATTGCCACAGAAAAATCAAACATATTCCTCCAGTGCAGGCTTTCCATTGTGACAAGTACAAACACAAAAGCCAACACGAGAACAATCGTCTGTAAATATCACCGTGGGGCAACTGTGGGATGGTCAGATTACATTTCAGGTAAAATATTGCTGGATCTGTCCAAGGGATATATAACAAATGATACTCTGGTTATTCGTTGTGAAATTGATCTTATCAATACAATTAGTACATCCTGTGCTACAACATTTTTTAAAAAAGCATAACATTTTTTAAAAACATTATAGAGAAAAATGTACAATATATTTTCGAAATATTTGCGTAAGTAAATAAAAAAATCTACAATACATCTATACCAATTTCGTTTAGGATGGTGCATCTCTATTTAGTCCAGTGGATAATTCAGAAACCCTCATTACCTTTCCCATCCCCGGGATTCCCCGTGTTCGATGCAAATATGTTCATGTTCGATAGCGGCATAGTTGCACTTATATCTTTATTTTTAACTAATTAATTCATGATATCTTGTTATCTATATATCGTATTGATTGATAAAAAATTGTAGCAAATGACGCAGAATTCATTACGATATAATCTGGGAATATTCAATTCTCCAATATTAACAATATGACCTTCTGTAATCGTAAATTACTTATATGAATAATATAAACAATCAATTGTTTCGTTCGGCGAGAAATTGAATTTCATGAAAAATCAAGCCGAAGTATACGATTTAATCACGATGTACCGAAAACTAACTCTTCAGGCACGCGGAGCGAAGCATTTTCTCTCTATTCGAATTTGCTATGAAAAAAATTAGTTTACGTTCGCAGTGAATGCGTGGTGGGATTAATTACATATGATGGAATTCTCCGGATTCGCTTCTCCGAATTCACGTGACTATATGAGAAGCTATATGATATATCCGGTATCGAACTATAACG